CCCCCCCCCTCCCTACACCCGGCATGCCCGCCCACGCGCACGGCGTACGGGTCCACGACCAAAAGTTAAGAACTTTCCGCACTTTTAGCAGAAATTGTTCGTCGACCTTGACTGCCACCACATGTGGTTATTAGTTACCAGACACCGGTGTCGTGTTCTCAGTTTGCAGAACACTTTTATTTTTTTACGAGTAAAATATTATCGTCTGGCTTCGATTATTATAGATCACACACACTGTTGAAGTTTTGGGCAAGTAGTAGAGGCGAAAGCTGCACCTTTTCGCTTTCGTGGCCCGTTCAAGCTCTGAGGGGACGGCTCAACACGATGAGACCTCGATGGACCAAAGGCCACACACAGACCCCTTCGCATCCCCGCCGCTGGCTGGCCGCTCCCACGAGTCTTTGCCTGTTTTGATTTGCCGCGGGGAAGGGTCTTATATCCCAGGGTCACACGTCACCTGGCATCCTAGTCCACGGCCGGAGTCTCCCTGCTTGCACATTCCTGGCCAGGCTAGGGTTGCTGGAAACAAAGTAAACTCCATGACAGAAGGCCCCCCGCAGCCTGCAATACGGATGAATGTTCAAACGGCCTGTAAGCTCAAAATTTATGCAATACGCGCGACCTTAAAATAAATGATAAAAAAAAAAACACTACGCCGAAAAAATTTGAGTGTGTACTTGTATCTCCTGAAGTGCTGGTCCTCCTTCTCATCCGCGCCCCGCTCATCGGGACTCTGGGGGAGTCGGAATCGGGGAAAGGGAAGAAAGGGAAGCAGAAAAAAAAACAGGCAAGAATCGCCCTTTGTGCTATCAACCTGTCATTGATTTTTCACGCCCCCTCACCCGCCTAATGGCGATTTTTTGACGCCGGATTAAATTTTGTTTCCTTGTAGATAGGGTCGTTTTTTCCGCCACTCCGCCCTTTGTTTTCGAAGCGTATAATCAGGCGGTGCATTAGTTAAGGACCCTCCCCTCCCTCCCCTCATCCTCGGTGATGGGATGGGAACGAGACGGAGCGATGCCCCTGCGCCCTGACGCGCTGATGTTCGATTTAAGAGAGCTCAATCTATTCGCCAATCTTTGCACTTAGAGCGCCAGGACTTATTTCGCCGAAGCGCCGAAACATTGTCAAATGACCGTTCAAAAAATCAATTGTAATTTTACAGATATTGTTGGCACCATTTTTCGCAATTTACTGTTTTTATTACCCAGAGCGCGCCCCGTGCGAAATGGATTTTTTGTCGATGACGAAACGATGTCGATATGATATCGTAAGTCGAAATTGTGGACAGGTTTGAGTCGTCAAGGCTACTCCTATAGGAAGTATTAGTATACTAATAGTTCCAATAAAAAAGTCCCAGGCCCGTTTGAACCATATATTTGAGCACTGCGCATAAGCTGTGAGGTATCGGGTGTGTACCAGGTGTACCACGGGGCCGTAAGGAGCCGTTGGCAAGGATATGCAAACCCACCAGCACCCATGCAGTACAGCATAACCACGAAAGTGAGTCAGCCACCTGGTACAGCATTGAGGTGCTAATCGGTCTTCGGAATAGTCCTAGCCTCTACCACCCAGCATGCGTATAGGTTTTCCGCTTTACCAATCATTAGTCTATATCTGTACTGTCCATACGGAAAGATTGGAACATTCGGAAAAGTCCAGTTCATTGGGGCATCATTGATCTCGTAAACTCCCTGTAAATAAAAAGTCATCACAGACCTCACAGTTATCATACTGTTGTGTTTGTAGTTTAAAGCAGCAACAATTTTCACCATCTGAACTTAAAATACCATAAAGACAAATACATACGTAACAGTATGACAAGATCAGACTTGCAGTGTTAGTACTTACAGGTCGAAAGAAACATGCGCCTTTTACATTTCTCTTCTTTAGAAGCTTCTCGTAAAAATCAGGAATATTTACTTTAATAGTTAGGCATGCATGATCGTTAAATTTAAAGACATATGCGTTTTCCTTCCACTGGTTGTTTGACCGAGTATCCACAATTATTTTCAGCTGTTATGAAATCGTACGAAATCGATTATTATTCATTATTCCTGCATATTGTTCAATAGCTGCACGAAATGTAAGGCACTCTTATTTTGTAATGAGCTTGTCGTTTGACAAACAAACTGTAGGGCGAACTTCACTTTCACTCCGCAAGTATGCTTGCAAACTACATTCTTCTTAGCGTTGCGAATAATTTTTTTTTTTTTTTAATTCAAAGAATAGACCATTTCAGGTTAGGTGATAAAAAGAAGAAAAGAACAACACATCGGAAAAGCACTGCTCCTAATCGCCTGCCATCCTCCGTCCCTCTTCGCCCCTCGCCCAGCAGCTCGTAAAATCCAGGAATATTTACTTTAACATTTCGGCATGCCTGGTTAAATTTACAGACATAGGCGTTTTCCTCCCACTGGTTGTTTGACCAATAATTTCCATCTGTTATATGAATTCGTTCGTAATCGATTATTATTTCTGCATTGGGGGGGGGGGTGATAAGTCATTTGCTAGATGCTCAAATTAAATGAGTGTTGTCTTGGCTGTCAACTCTTTTGTGTGTCACATACATAGATGGCAAACACACCATTGTGTGTGAACCGGTGTGAACCACTTTCACATTCCAGTCTTTGAATATCATTTACTTCTACTATTTGCAATGTCTTACCCAGTCGCTGTCATCAAGAAGTCCACCTGTAGCCGTCACATTGCCTGTCAGGCGTTGCAACTCTTTTGGTCTAAGTGGGTTGAAGTGAGTCGCCCGTAAAAACCATCTCCAGAGAAGCGGCTGGTTGTCGGTTTCACACATGTAAAAGCGCTCCGCGTAAGCAATGAAAGGACCCTAGTACAAACAAAAGATAAACCCGTCGCAATAAAGGCTGAAAAAAAAAAAAAAAGTTTAAAGGAGGCCAAATCCTGACATTGGCCTCACTAACTGGAATTTGACAGATCGGCCTTCTTTGTGGTCACGTTGAAGGCACAGTTGGCATCATAGGCTGCATTTGAAATTGGCATTCAGAAAAGGTCTACGGTTCCTATTAAAGTCGTCCGATCTCAGCGACGCTCTAACGCCCTCCGACCTCCCACTGACGTCCTAACGTCGCCTGATCTTCCTTCGACGCGCACTCTGCAGCACTACCTCCTTTTAGAGTAGGATAATATCGGCGGTAGAGAAAAAGTGAAAATTGCTATGTGTTCCTTGATCTTGTAGGAAATCCTGGGAACACGCAGGGAGATCGTACGATAGGACCCGTCGAGGTATAAACATACTATCACAGAGTTGATAGCTTTGCCTTGGATGCCCGCCGAGCACAGCGTGAGTGCTAGAAGTGTGCTTGCCATGATCATGATCCCAGGGACACTGAGCGGTACAAGGCAGTACTCGGCAGTAAACTGGATGCTGGCTCAACACTGTGAAAAATAGTAGGTAGGTTAACAGGAAAATTTTCCTTGACGCAAATTGTAAAATTACAATTTGGAATCGTAAAAATACATGCAGTACGTATCGACTTCAAATCCATTGGCGAGTAAAAAATGTTCTCTCGTAAATTTACAACTTAAATTATAATTCAAGTTTACAAAAATTTAAATTTACGAGGAAATTTTTTACAGTGAAGGGGAGCAATGTGCTGTGGCCATACGCGACCCAGTGGTGACCAGCTGAGGAAATAAACCATTAATTTTATACCACGATATCACGCGTCACAAAAGGTTTCCAACTGTGTTTCCGGTAATGATCTAATTGGTCTAGACAGCCGCGTTCGTTACAAGCCGATCGCGATCGTGTCTCGCGTGGGATGGAGTGCGCGTGCGACCTTCAGCACCTCCGGCACGTCACACGTCCCAGGTAGAACACGTGTCAAAATAACGACAAAACTAACTCATTTTGACGCCCATCGTCATAATTTACTGCGGCTAGATGCGCGTCAAAATGAGGTAGTTTTGACAATATTTTGACACGTGTTCTACCTGGGACGTGTGGCTTGTCGGAGGTGCTGGAGGTCGCACGCGCACTCCATCCCACGCGAGACACGATCGGCTGTTAACACGTTGACGACGGAGGCCCTCTGACCCTGTCGGTCCCAACCAGGGTTGGGCACGCTACTTTCAAAATGTAACGATTAACGCTATCGTTACTTCGGACGAAAAGTAATCGCTATCGCTATCGTTACTGACCGTCAGAATTGTAACGCGCTATCGCTACTCGTAACGTGTAGCGGCGCTATCGCTACTTTTAGTTTAAGCCGAGGGGGCAATAACTACCTTTAAATGTGTACACATGATTCCCGAAAACCTTGATTCTCTGTGATTCCCGTCCTCTTATGTTCATTCCTTAGGTTTTCTAGTAGTAGGAAACGCTTATTTCGCCTAATTTTTACGTTATATTGACTAATTTGTACGAATTCCACTAGTTTCCCGCTTATTTTAAGCGATTTCTGTTGATTTTGACTGATTTTTATCCAGTGATTCCCAGGCAAGTTCATGTGAACTGACGTCCTAACCCTCATTGAAGTTGAAGAAGGTGACGGTGACGTAGAGACGAGCCGATGTGTCGAGTGGGCGAATGCTAGTGAGGGAGGGGAGGGGTTGGAGCGCGGCCGAGCCGACCCCGACCCCTGCAGACAGGCGAGGAGAGCGGCGGACGCCCGGACGCCTGCCGCCGTTGTAATGCGCGTTTAGCAACAATAACACGTCAAAAGTAGCGATAGCGGCGCTACGTTTTTCCGCAGGAAAAGTAATCGTTTACGCTAACGTTACTGACGACCAAAATTTAATCGCGCTACCGTTAACGCTAAGTAGCGTTAGCGAAAACGCTGTAACGGCGTTACTCGCTAAAGTAGCGAACCCAACCCTGGTCCCAACTGCCGGGGCCACTTTTGGAATTAATTTGGAAATGACCACAGTCTGATCATCGTTGCAGAGGTAGCGGGAGGGTCTGTCGTTTGCTATGGGTTCGTAAAGAATTGCTCCCCTGTCGCTACACCGCGCGCCGCGGGGTCGGTCTATCGCAAGCGCCGGATATACTCTTGGTTCTCGCGAGAGTGGACAGGTGATTCATCCCCTGCTCAGAGCCCGGCCCACCCGGCCCCCAACGCCTCTGCCGTTCTCAAAGAGTCGCTAATGAAAGATTAAATATTCACGCCATCCTTCTCTCTTAGCGGCCGGCGCCCTGCATCGCCCCGTCTCTCTCGCCTAATCTCCGCTGGCCCATCCCTCGTGTGTGTTGTCCGTCTGTGACGGCGGGGCGGGGCGGGGCGAAGCGCGGGCCTGGGATATGTAATGTGGGGATGTTTAGCTATGTTGATCTCCTCCCATCTTTGTGCGCGCGCAGGATTTCGTCGTGTTTTTTTCCTCTTCTTTTTTGATCAAAAACACTCCACCCCTTTCCTTTTTACACACACGTGTGTGTGCGTGTGTACGTGTGCGGGTCCGTCGTCAGACACGCACGGACGAGAGGCATCCTTAATGCAGAGGGTTACGGCCCCAGCGTCCACTTTCCCATTATGTATACTCAATGAGGAAAAACTCGCTCGCAACGCTAACGGGAGGAGAGAGTGAAAGAGGGGAGGTATGGGGGGGGGG